TTTCCCACTGCTCTCCATATAAAATGCTAGTATACGGCCAAATTTAGAGCGATTGAGTCTATTTCCAAGTTTCATTTGCTTTCATAAATGCAGTTTGTAAACTCACAGGAACGTTCAACCATACATTTGCCCATGATACACTGGAATATATCAAGTCAAATCACCTTCAATTTTGAGATACTGTCCTAGAGGAATAAAGAGCAAGTATTAACATCAACCTGTCCTTTCCCAAGTTGCCTCCCGTGATTAGTAATTTAAGTCATGTGCAGGCCATGAGATCGAAGCTCCTTCTTAAATGCTCGTGTGTCCCATGGAGGCCTGGCTAACTTGGAAAGACACCTCTGACAGCTCTCAACCTTAAGAAAAGTCGAGATTTAAAAACCTAATTCTAATTAGTATATGATATTAGGTATTCACTTACAAACAAAACCCTAATTACTTGAAAACGCTATATCTGTAGGGAGACAGAATCACTTCTACAAAAAGAAATTTTTTGGTTGACATAAGCCCAAGGAACGGAAAAAGACTTCATTTCCACAAGTAGAAGCAACAGATGATTGCTCAGAAAAATAAAGAGGATTTACTACACTATGATTCTACACATTAAGTTGTTACTTAACAACAGACAACAAGAACATTTGTTTCCTTTTACCCAGGCCCCACCCCCAAGAATTTCGGAGGAAAAGAGTATGAATGTAAACTGCAAACAATATGACACTTCCTTTCATAGGGAATGACCAGGTGTTGAGACATAACAGTACGAATATTACTAGATAAGCAATACTGTTCTAGGGATTTTTGATATAAGATTTTAAATTGAAGCAAAGTGTCCAGAATTACGAACTGATTTAATTCAACTAACAAAAACTGGCAGACAACACACTTTACTTCTAATGCTTCTGATATGACTGACTACTTAAAAAGAGATTACCAGCTAACTATTGAAAACATGGATAAAGCGTTATACATATGTACATAATTATTTTAGGGTTCATTATAATATAAATTCAATCCAATAACATCTAAATTAAGTGGCCATGCCAATTACACTTATTTTTTTAAAAATGCCCATCGAAGTAAGAAATTATCCCACTTAGTGAGAAAAAGTTTCTATAAAAAGAACTGGCTTCTTTCGGAGACAAAATCAGGTTTGTGACTTCTTTGGCCTCACGTGGCACTAATAAGTCTAGCAAAGTCTGAAGGTGATCTGGCAAACCTAATAAAGATGAGAGACAGTGCTTTGGGCAAGCAATAATAGACTATCATTCCTGGCTAAGGTTCTCCCAGACTATATCTTAGTTTGCACTGAAAATTGTACTCTTTCACAGAGTAACAAAGCAAGACCATTTATTCAGGTCAAATGCTAAAAATTCTGTAAATTATTTGGTCATCCAGGAACTAGACTGATCAAATACTTGTGGAACAATGTACACAATGGGCTTCAAAATCTGTCTATAAATTTTTACCACAAACTCAACTTTCCCCTTCCTTTTTCTTCCTCCCACATCATCTTCCTTAACAGGCATATCATGAGAAACTATTTCAATAATGTGAGATCTGCACAATTAATGTTATTAATACTATTTCTAACTAAATCAAACATGGAAAGATTTGACAATTCAAGTTAAATGAATTAGAAGTGAAGCTTTCTTTATATTTATTAAATTACAAATTCTTATTAATGAACTTATAATAAAGTTTGTCTATTAAGGTATTTCATCTATTTATCAGGGAAAGTATACCGGAATGATAATACAATAGTATAACAAATTTTCACTTTACCGAAATTCTCCTGACAACTGGATCGATTCCATTCAGCTAGTACTAGTTCCTAAGTGTAAGTCCTCTGCTTGATATTTAGAAACATAGCTAAGAACAAGCACTGTCTCTACTCTCAGGCAAGAAGGAAAACTAACTAAGATTAATTAAACATTTACCTGTATTCTGACTACTGTAAACTAAGGAGACTTGAGTACCTCATCTAAATTAGTCCCTACAATTTTATGAGGTGGATAGTCTTTTTTTTTTTAATAAAGATTTGTTTTTATTTATTTATACAAGCACTGGGTACAGTCAGAAGCGCGGGAGGGTGAGAGAATTCACCAGAGCCAGAGCGGGGAGCAGAGCAGGCAGAAGGACCGAAGTACACTGCTGAGGGGAGCAGCGGGCGGCAGGAGAGGTCTGCGCGCCATGTGGGACCCTTCTCCGGTGACCGGGGAGCAGCCGGGGATCGAACCGGCGCTGCAGAGGCCGCGGGCAGCTTCGCAACCCAGCGCTCAACCGCTGCGCCACCGGGGAGGCCCTGAGGTGGATAGTCTTAAGCAATAGCAAAAACAGCTATGTTTACCCAGAGATGATATTAGTAAATAACAGTAAACTATTATTTACTCCATGAGTGATAGGAGGTGGGGCATTCAGATATCTTGGGGTAGAGCTATTTACACCATCAATATAGAGACATGTCAATATTTCACAACTGGAACAGCTTTCTTAGTGTGTGCTAGCTGAGTATCAGTCCTTTTTTATCCAAATGAATTTAATACAAGATAGAAACTGATGAGAAAGAAAGAGAGGATTGAGAGAAACTTCCATATGATTACAAAAGAAGGAATTTTGGATTGGGAGGTATGAGGTAGACTTCCTGGAAGAGGTGATACTTGAGTTGGACTCTAGGAAATAAGCCAAATTTGAGCATGTGGCAATGGCTGGTATTGGAATTGGAATAGAGAAGGATTTCCCAGCTAGTTCAATGAGTGAGCCAAGGCAAAGTGTCAAAAACATAAGGTGTGTGTGCTGGATACCAGGAATGCTGGACATGAAGACAGGCATTGGATCAAAGAGAGAATGAATGGCAGGTCAAGATATTAAATAAAAGCTGATGAGCAACTGAAAGATTTTGAAGCCTGCTATGATCTGGTAGAGGCGAGCAGGCTGGAAAAGGAAAAAACTACAAGGGACAAAATCAGCAGCTAACTCTTGAAAGGCCTCAAGGAACTTTCCTGGACATGCCTGTCCCTCTGTCTAGCCTCAGTTAGATGTCACTCCTCCAGAAGCCACAGGGTTCCCAGTTGGCCTCTGTCATGACACTCTCCTACCAAGTTAGAAGTGCGTGCTGCCCCAGACTCAGAGCCCCAGGTCTTCAGGTGAGGCGTGACTGAAGGTCAACACCTGCAAAGGCACTGAGCTCCTGATGAAATGAAGGCAGCATGGTTTTTTTAATTGGAGGCATCTGTCACAGTAGATCAGGTAAACATATTGGATTTTTCTTCAAATGGTATGATTCCTGATCTAATCAGCCCCCTTTACCTTTCTTGCCTTTACTCTGAGTTACCTGGCAAGGATTAAGAGTTGATAAATGTTGGAATCAGTGAGTAAGACACTGAGAGTCTGAGATATAGTTGTGAAGGTGAAATAAAATAAGTGGACTCGGGATGGGCTGTGGATGCTTTGGTGGTGCGTGTGGTGTAGTAGCAACACCTGAAGGGGGAGATCCTATCCCTCTAAAACACAGACAATGCTGTAAACCAATGTTACCTCAGATAGAAGATAGATAGATAGATAGATAGATAGATAGATAGATAGATAGATAGATAGATAGATAGATAGACAGACATAAAGAAAGAATAAAGGGTTTTGCAGCCCTACAGTTAAGAAAGAAAAAGGGAAAAAAAATAGAGGAAAGAAGAGAGATAACAAGTGAGGTTCACTTGGAACAGAAGAACCAAGGAGATTTGGCATCTGAGGACAGAAAGGGTGACACTGGGTGTGAAAAGCAGAGTGGCTGGAGGAGAAGGGGACTTTTAAAAGAAAATAGGGGTTGCAGAGTTTGAAAGGGAAGAAGAGTTCTGTCTTATATGACTGTCCTGAGTTTATGATGTCCACAGGCCTCTAGAGGATGAACTGGAATTGCATTTATAAAAGTTTATGCCTAATTATAAGGATGTGTCTTCATTTTTGGTAACAGTCACCTGAACCAGAGCCTTCTTGCCAAATGCATCACTGCACTATCAGGATATCTGCATTTCTATACTCTTGGCCTGCAGATCAAATACTCAAGACCCTTACCAGTGCTTGTATAAATAAATAATAATAAAAAATGAACACTGATGTAAAATATTAAAAAAAATTATTAAAAAAATAAAGTACTTTAGCATGCTACCTGGCCCTAAAAAGTATTAACTACTGCTCAAGCTCAAACTGATAAAAGCATACAATAACAATGTCATCGATGAATGAAAAAGCTGCATTTAAAAAAAGAAATTGCAAGAAGAAAGGGGATGTTTTCATGCATTTTAAGTTTAAACGGGAGGGTTCCTTTATAAAAACAAACAATTTTATTAAGCTATTCCATTGAATATCAGTTATCCATATCAGCAAATAATGCAAATTTTATAGATTCACAAAATAGGACACAACTGCTAACTGCTTTTCTACTAAGTTAGAATAATTCTAAAGAGGCTGAAATGGAAGACCTGATGTGATGCCTGTGGAATGGATGATAAAATGTATTATATGTAATATATTTTAATGTATATTGTTACACATAAGCTTATTTATGTGAGGCTCTGGATGTTGCCTAGTAGAGCAAAGATACAATGTGCGTGACCTTAGCCAGGTCACTGCCTAGACAAAGCTCCATCTCGACCACTCTCATTCAACAATTATTTTTCTATTAACCACACGCCCTTGGCTAAATCTATAAGAAATAAAGACAAGCAGGGCCCAGCCCTAGAGTATGCACAGGGCACTGTCATGGCCTCTCCCCCGCCTGGGGACAGACGGGCAGCTACAGGAGGAGTCCCCGGTGAAGCGGTGGGGGACGCCTCGCCTCCCGCGCGGACTGCAGCTCCCCCACTCCCGGGAGAGCCGGCTTCTCCAAGGGTCCAGGCCAGGGCAGAGCGCAGCAGCATCTTCCCCCAGGCTGCCCGCCCGCTCGCCCGCCCCGCCAGGCCGGCCCGCGTCTCCATGGTAACTGTACACAAACTACCTACCCCGGCCGCCCGAGATGCCCGCCTGCAGAGCCAGGTCGCTTCCGGGCGGGTGGACAGGGCCAGGTGATGAATTGGGAGTGGGAGCAGAAAAGGGGCGTCCGACCAGACCCAAAGCACCTGTGCGCAGCGCTGGACACAGTAACGGCGGCGGAGCTTCAGCTCATCTTGCAGCTTTCCCGAGGCAGCGGCCGCGGCGGTGGAGCAGGTGGGGCGGGGCCGGGGAGGGCGGGGCCAGGCGCGGCCGGGTCAGGAGCGCCCCGGGAGCCGCTCTGCCACTGGGCCTGCGCGGCCCCGGGACGCGGGCGTGGACAGCAGGGCGCTGGGCGCCGCCCCGGGCGCGGGTAGCAGGAGCCTGGGCGGGAGCTGGCCTGCTGGGAGCGGGTCTGGGGGAGAAAAGGCTGGGGCCAGGGTAGTGCATGGAAGACACGGCGCGGCGCGGAGGGGACTGGAGGGTTAAGAGGTGAGGGGGGGGGGTGTGGGTGGATTCACTTTTAAATTAGCAGTTTACCAGCTCACATCTCTTGAGCCCTAATGAGATTTCAGGGCCTCTTTTTAATATCCATAAGCAGGTAGCTCAGAGCACAGGGTGAATCAGGACATTCGGGGTCAAGTTGCAGCTGTGCATAACCTTGAACTTGTTCTTAACTTTTCTGTTTACTCATTTGTAAAATGGAAGGCAACCTAATACCCAGCCAGGTCTTGTAGTGCTGAAGATTGGGAAAATAGATATAAAGCACACGTCCCAATAAATAATTGTTAAACAGTTGTCTGTTATTAAGCCCTTGCGTTTGAGCAATATTTGAGTTTACAAAGGTTCTTTCATGTGTATTAGTAGAAGTATTGTTTTGCATTTTCCAGCACCTCTGAGGTAGTGGCGTTCTCCTTCACAGCAAAGGAAAAAGTGGTTCAGTCTAGTAAGTGACAGAACTAGATTCAATCATTTTTTGGCTTTAATGTGTCGTCACTTGGTTAAAAACAACCCCCCTTATACGTTTCTGGTTTAAATTCTGTTCTACTAAACCATTCAGCAACACTTTACAGTGTTAAATACAAGTGAGACCATAATCACTCTCCTTTCAAGGTTTGCACCATGTTTTATAAATATGAGGATTTTTCAACCGAAGTGTTGTGAGCATTGGGAAAATGCCACATTCCTTGGTGCTAAGTGTCTTGAAACAAATAATTAAATTTAAAATATTTTTGAGTTCATACAATGTGGAGGGTATCATGTCAGATGGGAAATGATACTAACCAGAACAAAGGGCATGTAAGTATTCTTCAGAGTGCCCCACAAGACTGTACACTAAACTGGCAATAAATACTTACAAGTTGATTTGATAATTTTGTGGACTAAAACAAAGTACCTCTTTCAGCATCAAAATCTTTCCCTGTGACTCAACATTAATTATCCTATCACCAAGTCCCTTTTATTGGGTATTGGACTCCATTATGGGATCTTTGCCCACTTAATATAAAATAAGTAGCATTTTGAATTCACAATTTACAATCAAAATGCAACATTTTTTTTTAATCTCTCATTGCCATTTTAAAATATAATCTCTCATTGCCATTTAAAATATAACCAGAACAAAGGGCATGTAAGTATTCTTCAGAGTGCCCCACAAGACTGTACACTAAACTGGCAATAAATACTTACAAGTTGATTTGATAATTTTGTGGACTAAAACAAAGTACCTCTTTCAGCATCAAAATCTTTCCCTGTGACTCAACATTAATTATCCTATCACCAAGTCCCTTTTATTGGGTATTGGACTCCATTATGGGATCTTTGCCCACTTAATATAAAATAAGTAGCATTTTGAATTCACAATTTACAATCAAAATGCAACATTTTTTTTTTAATCTCTCATTGCCATTTTAAAATATATTCAGTGTTGGTTGTCTTCCCCTGTGCCTGGATGGAAAGACCTTGTATTTTCTGCTCTTTTGTAGATCACTGATATTCCTGGGGTAACTAAGTCTTAATTGCAACTTTATTCCAAAATTTAAATGTTGGGTGCAAGATATAAGCAAATGCTTCAAACTTCACTTGAAAGTCCCCTGGTGGCACAGGCTGTTGAGCACAGTGCTGTGAAGCTGTCCGTAGCCTTTGCAGCACCTGCCTTGTCATTTACTCTGGTTCTAACTCCTGAGGCAATGCCTAGTTCACTGGTCTTACTGCTGCCATTAGAATCACCTGGAGCTCTTCAGCGACCATCTCAGGATATGGCCAGAGAGGGCTAGAGGGTTTGAAGGAGGCTGTTGTGAGAGCCAAATAATGAAGTCCAAGGTTTGGCCAGGCAGTCAGGCCTCAAAAGCCCAAGGAAGTCAGAAGAGGCAATGACAGAGAAGAGACAGAGGGAGAAAAAAATCTAATGTATCAATAGTTTGCTCCTCCAGCCTCTTGCGTGTGCCACCCCATAGAAGCTGGCAGCCCCAGAGGGCTGTGACCACCAGAGCTGAGGCTCTAGGTGAGATAGGCCTCCCAGTTCTCATGGGTGATAAGAGCAGTGAGTTGCCCTGAGCAGGAATCCCTAGCTAGTCTGAACACCTGTGACCATAATGGGAATCACTCAGGACACATACTTTGCCACTTCTTGGGGACTCTGAAGCTGGTGTAGGGTAAGGTAAAAAGTATCAGGCTTTTCTGCCCTCCCGCCATAAGGATGCATGACGGAACCCTGTGGTCCCGAATGCATGCCTGATGGCGGGCACCTGGAGTAGGGTGTGGGCATATGTAGATGGGATTCACCTGGGCTAAGACTGGGCTTTTAAGGGCAGCATCACAGGGACACCAGCAGAAGCCAAGAGAAGAAGAGAAGCAGAGAGATCGCCAGAGAGAGCCCAGAGTGAGGATTTGCTGGGGGCTGGGAGCACTGCCAGCCTCACGGCCCCCCAGCACCCCTGCCTGCCATATGCCTGGTAAATCTAAATAAAAGACCTGCAAAACCCACTGAGGGCTCCAGGACTCTCTCTTCCTTTACCCAGCCTGCTGGATCAGAAAACCTGCTCAGTGGCCTGTCCTGCCTCTACAGTTGGTGTATTTTTTTTTTTTTAAACAATGTGCTTAAGTACTATTGAGGTACAGCCCAAGAGCAATTTATTTTGATAATATGACAAGAAAGAAAATTTAAATAGAGAAAAGAAAGTTCTAACAGGGAATTCGGGTGATCAAGAAGTGTAGAGTCTAGTCACAGGTTTAAGTATTCAGATAGAAGGAATCCTAGGAGCCCCCGAATAACAAAATATCTGGGCTTCCAAAGGCAATCATCATCATTAAGAGCTAACGATATTAAACACACATGATCACTGAGATGAAACTAGTCATACAATTCTTCATGCTATTCAGATAAAAGATTATTACATATGTAGGGTATTTGATACTGTCTACCACAAAGTAAAATAGCCATAAAAATTTAAATCATGTAATGATGACTTGTGCATTTACAAAGCACTTTTTTTGGTCAGATCTCAAATCACTTCACATTTCACCAAATTAAATACACACACTCCTGCGAGCATGCAGACACATGTACCTGTGAAACAGGAAAATATGATGACTACGATGATGGACTGTATCAATGTCAATATCCTGTTTGTGACATTACTTTAGTTCTGGAAGATGTTGCCATTGAGGAAACTGAGCCAAGGGTTTGTGAGACCTCTTAGGACCTCTCAATATTGTTTCTTACAACTACATGTGAATATACAATGGTTTCAAAGTAAAAATGTTTAAAATAAACATTTTTATTTTAAACTCTCACTCTCACTTTATTTTATCTTTACTAAGATCACAAATGAAAAGCTATGAGGCAAACTGAGGAAATATAAAATCAGAAGTAAATAGGATGGGTACCCATTGACGTAGGCTGGATAAAACAATTTCTGCCTAAAACTTGAAAACCAATGAAGTGGTCTTAACTGAACAAGAAAAGTGAATTTCTGCCTGAAAATCTCAGAGAAATTATTTGCCCTAGGCTATTTCTAAATTCACACTCAGAGATTGTTAAATGAACAATGTGCCGATCAGGGTTCTTTATGTCTTTTTAAATTCAGTGTTATGTTTCTTATTAGGGTATAGAAATAAAACAGCACCATTCAATTGTCAAATCATTTCAGTTTGAGAGCTCAAACTCAAATTAAGACAAGGAATTCTTGGCAGAGGTGGTAGAGTTCATGCAGCTCATTTTCTCTCAGGAGTGGAGATCCCCTGACTTCAGACCACAGCTGCGAGCTCTACCCATTGGCTACAGCTGCTCCAAGCCCCCACTAGTCCTACCTCCCCCGCCCTCTAATTAAGCTGCAGGGGCCAAGCCCTGAGCCTACTACTGCTCACTGGATGCACCTCCTCCCACTGAGGACTTGCACCCAACATTAAAGCTTTGCCAGAGTCTGTGCTAAATGGCTTATGTTCTTAGGAAGCCATGTGCTTGCATCTTATACCAGCTGGGCTGCTCCAGACAGAGGTACTGCAGCTCTCTATCCAGAACACACCCGAAGTTGTGCTTATCTGGGGGGAAAGCTCATCCTGAGTGGAACAGCATCATTTTATGTTCCCCAAGCACTTGGCACAAGAGTCCTGCACTGAGATACAGTCCTTGCATTCAAGAATGTAGCAAGAAGAAAGAAAAAATGTTTTTAAGGACAGTTTTTAAAGATGCCCCAAACCATCTCTTTTTCGCTTTTTCCCCCATTATATGTTATACTTGTTTATTTGGGTTACAGAAGAGACTTGAAATGCTAAACTAAGTGGAATGGTAAGCAACAGAGAGCACAGATCTTGTCTTCCCTGCTCACCCTTGGATATCCTCAATTCAAGAACAGTAATACCAACATAAATAGATGCTCACTACATATTTGTTAAATAAGTGGACAAATGCAGGCTTCATGATACTGAGGGTCATGATGTCATCATATGTAACCCTCATGCATCCCCAGATGTCTTTCTATTAATCACCCCTAGTCTCCTGCTAGTTAATTCTGGTGGTGCCCACAGCTGTGCCATCTCACGTGTGCTAAGAAAACAAATCTGCTCACCCCAACTCCCATCTCAAAGGTCCTTGTTACCCCAGCTTTGGGAGGCCTTCCTTTAAGGGAGAACATATTTCTTCCATCCTCCCTTCTGCTGCCACCCCAGGGTGAGAATGACGGGGCAAGCTGTTCTGATTCTTGTCTCTGCACCTGAGTCAACTCTGCTGCTGCCCG